ATCCGAGATGTGGTGGAAGGTGGAGAGCTCAAACTCGTCAAGGTGCACACTGATCAAAATTGGTCCGACATGATGACAAAGCCGGTTCCAGCAAGGAAATTTGAAGACTGCTGTGAAGGAGCCGGGTTGATGCTGAAGCCGATGCATTGAAGTCGGAGGGGGAGATTTGTTGGGCTTCCTCCTTCAATGGTAAGCCCAAGCCCATTGAGGGGTTTCCTAAAAACCCTAACCCTAGATCTTACATCCTCTATATGTTCATTAGTTGTGGGTGGAGGGTAAGTTAAGAGATTAGAGAGAAAATTTGAGAGAATTATTTGATTGTTTGAGCAAAGCTTTATGGTTTGCATTTGAGAGATCTCTAGAGAGAGTTTGAGTGAAACATCTCTAGGGTAGTTTGATTATCACCATTGTTGGAGAGGTTGAGTTAACCACCGCATTGGTGTATTTGATTCTTTGTAACCATTATTTTCATAGTGGATTTTTAATCTGGACTAGGTCCCGTGGGTTTTTACTTCTTCATTAAAGAAGGTTTTCCCACGTTAAATCTGGTTGTGTTCTTCTTCTCTCTCCTGTTTACGTTTTTGATTTTTTCACTGCGCTGCCTGACCTAGTGAAGAAGTTCAGGTCGAGGTATTGCCGAGATTCGAGATCAGAATCTTGTTGATTGACTTCTGCACAAAGACTGCTTAGCCGAGCTTGAGGGAATCGATTTTTCCCAACACATCATATATATATATATATATATATATATATATATATATATATATATACACAGCCAATTCTCTTACATTTAGCATCTCTCAATCTTAACGGTATCTAGTACAGCGTATTTAGTTAGCGTCGCTGCGTCAGAGACTTGGTTGTTTGTTACAATTGATGTTATTTTAGACTAAAAAGTCAACATTAATGACAGCATCAAAATGTGTGCGTATGTGTGTATCCATTTTTGCTCATGGAAGATCTTTCCAATACATTTTTCCTTCCTGGATGAGTTTCAGATTGGACTTATTCATCTGTTTTGAGACAAATGATAATCAAGCATCGAATCTATTCTGTAGTATTATTAACGAGTATGGTCCGATCCAAGCATAGAAACGTCGCTTCTGCTGTTTATAAGTCATGTCCACAGCACGCTAGCTCTATATATGTCTTTTTAATTTCTTAATTATATTAGCATCTATATATGGCATGCCTTCATTTCATCCAGCTATTAAGGCAACAGCATATTACCAAAGTATAATGTGCAATGCTCGTACAAATTCTCATCGCAGTTTATATTCGCCACATAACTTCTTTAATTAACCTTTACTCTATTGGAAAAATGGAATGTAGAAGGATTAAACCCCCCCCAACTTAAAGCACTAAAGATTCCACCAAACTACATGGCAATTGGCTCCTCATAAACTATTCCATTGTAGTACATCTTAAACATATTCGTAACTTATAAAAGATTATTAACTTTCATAATAGAGGTAATATTTTAAATAAATGAAAAATTATGAAAAATGCTTTATTTAAAGAAATCAAGACTTAATTAATATGCCGAATGTTGTTTAAAATTCACGATGCGGCCTTGCGTAGCCGCGTACCACGTACAACAACTAATTGCCTATATTGTCGAACAAGAAAAGTAGACGTGTGTCATCCGTCATGATTCCCGTGAAAATGCTTTAGCTCTGGATCTCATTCCCCAACACGATAAAGAAAAGAAAAGTTTGGGGTATCATCCAAGTCTACACATGCCAAAATCACTCAACAATTATTTTTGAGAAATGAAAATATAACAATTTTATGTTTGGCATAAAGGTGTGTGTTTGTTTAAGGATTATTAAATTTTTTACAGAAATAAATTTGAGAATACTATATTTCAATGTTTGGTACGAGCTCAAAAAATTATTCTTAGGAAAGTGATATTCTCCTCTCTCTCTCTTTTTTTTTAATTTATTCTTATTTTCATGTTGAGTGGTAAGTATCTTGCTTTTTTATGGGAATGAAAGTTATCGTGTATCTCAACTCTTTACTTCACTCATAAATCATGTGTAAAGAAGCATGTTGAGATATATAGTCCCACATTGGTTGTATGTGCAACTAATGTGAAGTTTATAAGGTCTTGGGCACTCCCACCCTTTGAACTATCTTTTGGAGTGGTGTATCCCAAGGTTCTTTACATCATGATCTTACTTTTTTTCCTCATCATTTCAATTTTAAAAATATTAAACTATTAAAGAGATATAATATAAAATAATTTATGAGTCTTTACTTATTAGTTTAAACTTTTGAATTGAATTAGTTTTTTAGTATCATAAAAAGATGATCACGAGATCACAAATTCAATTATCATTAGCCCTCACTCTTTAGTAGAATTAAGTTAATAAAAGGTAACCAAATGGTGGTAGCTCAGTTAGCGCATGGGAGCTAAGCAGGTGGGGGTGAGAACATGTTTTCGAATCTCCCCAGTACCACCTTTGGGAGGGGTTTAAAGTCTTAACCCTGGACCCGCCCCGAATCGGATTAGTTGCGAAGCAATGAACCGATTGAAATATTTAAAAAAAAAAAGTTAATAAAAGGTGAAATTAAAGAATGAGCTTATACAATATTCACATAAAACCATTGATGGGCTTTCAGTTATTAGCTTAAGCTTTTGGATTTAATTATTTTTTATACATAAATATTAACTAAAGATATTTTTAAATTTTCGAAAAATAACTATGTTTATCATAATATATTTAGAAATGTCATCATGCAATATAGTTATATACCTTCAAACAAGTGTTTCCTAAATATTAAAATAATATCTATAATATTATTAATTTTCAAGATATTGATATATTTTGCTTGATTTTTATCTTTATGATAAGAGATGAAATTGATGAGCTTATCACACACAATTGATAAAGGTATTATTGAGTATTCCCAAAAAAGAAGATAAATAGATAATGATAATGTGATTTTATTATTTTTAGATAAACTACATATATCTTCAGAGCTATCCGAGCCGAGAACAGTATATTATTGTAGCACTAGCTCTAAAATTTTTACATTATTGTGTGGTTTCATTTTGAGGTTCAATAATGTGTTTCTTCAAATATCATCATGAAACATGAGGGGATCAATACTTATCCTACGAGATGTTTCCACGCTCTAGCTAGTTAATTAATGACACAAGTAAATTTAAGTATATTGAAATATATCATTGCCTTTTAAGCAGGCTTTGCTATTTATAATGAATGGAGGCCTCATGCGTTACCACTTCTGAATTAGTAGATATCATATCCTTTGTAACTCTGGCCTTTTATATATTGAGTCTCGTGATGGCGGGAATGTCTTATGTGAAGTGTGAACTATAATTCATAGGCTGAGTTGGAGTGCCCATTGGTTGGTTATTATTTAGGGGAATACATATGTCATGTAATAGGATAGGAAAACATTTTCATGTACGAACAAACTTTGGTAGAGCCTACGGTAAAAAAAATATTAAAAAACAAAAGAAATATTAGCACAATATTCCATGGATCAATAGGAATTTATTTTTCTATCATATTACATTACATGAAAAATGTATTTCTCTATTAGTTATTAGCGGAAGATTATATTTATAAATTTTTTATTTATAAACTCTTACAAATTATATTATGTACTCTAAAAAATATACTAAAATTATATTATGTATTTTCAGGAATATATAATATAATTTATAAAAAAGCCTACTTGTTAATATGTTCATCTCACTCTCCATCCGAAACGCAAATACGGACTCGAACCCCTGAAGGGGATTTGGGATTGCTTCGCTGAGAAGTAAAAGTATTTAGATCTTCAGTTTTTAGTGATTAAAGCGGTTGAAATATTTAATTGAAGAGTTTCATATTTATTGATAATAAATTAAATGAAATCTATATAAATGAGCGTAATATCTTAAAATTTTGGTTTAAGATAAAATGTGTATTTCTTTTTAAAAAAAATTATTGTTTTCCTTTTGGAAAATTATATTGCTTTTTCGCGATACAAGAACCGAAGTTATTTTATAACTGAATTGTTAACTTCTGCTTTCAATCTTTTTTACCACACTCTTTCACTCGTTATTTAAACATTAATTTTTGTTGTTGTAAATGTACAATAGTAACTAAAAATATTTTTAAATTTAACTGAAAATAAATTTTTTAATTATAGTATTTTTTTTTTTGTTAATATCCACCTATGTCCAAAGTCTAAAAGAACAATCTAGAAAAATATTTATAACCAGAAATTATATAAGTAACGAAAATTTGTGTAAAGATTTTTCATAAATGCGTTGAGCAATGTTGTTGGGACGAAGAGAGAGAATAAAAATGATAATTGATGATGATGAAGACTAAAGTTTGCGAAATTTCGCAAAAAGTTTAAAAATCAGATGGTACAGGTTATTTTATGGCGCAGAGTGCTATCAAGTATCAACCTTCCCCGATACAACGCAAAAAAAACTGTTCCCGATGATAACTTGTTTAGAGCATATTTGGATAAAATAAATAAAAAATAATCAACTTTTAAAAAAAATCATTTATTTAAACAGAAAAATGAAGATAAGTTATTTATATTTATTCTCAAAACGACATTATTTTGAGATTAAAATATTAAAAAATTATAATTATAAAGACTATAATAATTCTGAAATAAATTAAAATTATAAAAGTATCATGATTTCCATTCCAAAACGACATTATATTGAGCTTACTGCAAATAATTTATACTCACCAATTTGTTATTTGTAAATTAAAAAAATCCCCCATTAAATTTCAGTCTGAATTTGTTATTTTCTGGCAAATAAACAAAATTATCCTGTAGGACTGAGATAAATAGAATAAATTTTTTTCTGTATTTATTTCTTTTTTTATAAGCATTCATAATTTTTTTTTTTGATAAAATCTTATACATTTAATGTTAATTTTAAAAAAAAAAACACGAGTGAAAGATCCATTTCCGCCAAAAGCGTAACAGCGACACTGAAGACTATGCAAAATCTGGGTGTCCATAGATGGAAAGAAAACTCCCTTAATTTTAATTCATCTCAGCGTAACTTTACACTTCCCGAATCATGACACACAAACCAACAAGGTCAAAAACCCAAAAAGAGTAAAAGAAAGGAAAGCTACGCAAAAAAGAAGAAGAGGGAATGATGAGAGAAACAGAGAAAGATGCTCCCTCTATATGCTTAAACCTAAACTAAGATTGAATTTCAAACCAAGGGATAACTTCGTCAATGCGACTGGTTTTGTTGTTGTGTTTCTTGTGGTTGTGGTAATGGAGTTGTAGTAGTAGCTTGAACATGATTATCCATTTCTTCTTTCTCTGATTTCTCGATAGTTTCATGATTTTTGAGGTCTTTGTCAGAATGGTTCTCAACACCATCGCCAAAAGACGAGGACTTGGAGCAAGCAGGGGTGGCCAAGAATGTGGGTTTTACATTTCCAGCCATAATCACCAGAATCTTCTCCTCATAGACTTTAGCGGATTCGTTTTTTGCAGAGTCACTCGCTTTCTCACCACCGGCGTTTTCCAAGTCCCTGTCACCGTTTTCTTCGTTCTGTAATTGACCAGAAAGTTTCCAGTATGAGCAAGCCAAGATCAATAGCGCAAACGCTATGAGACCAAGCATCGCAGCCAGTCCTCCAAATAGGTACGGAACAGGAGAGTGCCATGACGAGTGTTGAACACTTGTGAATGATTCTGTGGCTGAGGGTGCTAATGAACTCGTAGTGGAGTAGGTGGTGGTGGTGGTGGTAGAGGAAATGGTTCTCATTTTGATTTAACGTAAGTAGTTTCTACTGTCTGTGACTTTTGATGTGGTGGGAACAAGAAGGTGTTGGGTGTAGAGCGAAAGAAGGTTAAGAATGTGAGCTTGAAAGGGAAGATTGGGGTGGCGGGGTATTTATAATGGTGAAAACTTATGAGGGAAGAGAGAAAAAAAAGGGTGTTATTCATTATTGGCTTTCTGACTTGGGTCACGGACTTTGCCCTGTTTTGTTGTTGTAAGTTGTAACTTGCAGGCAAAGGGTAGTAGGGTACCCTTAAAATCTGGACCAGTCATCATCGGTGTGTAAGTGTAACCGATGCCAACGTGGGTTAGGTCGTGGGGATTTTTGAGTTTCCTTTGTTGGAGTTTGCACTAAATGCTAGTGTGGGTCCTCTGTTGGGGACCGATTCTTTCATCTCCCAAGAAAATGAGAAGTGAAGAGTACCATGGGACTTTCTTTATCTACAAAAACAAAATGGAAATTCCTCTTCTTTTTTTCTACCTACAATTATTTTTTAAAGGCTCAGTCTTTCCTATTTTGCAGCAACTACATAAAGAGGAGGAAGTTGTTATTATACAATTAATTGATTTTTGTTAGAAAAATATAAAATTATTAATATAATTTTGCTTCAAAATTTAAGATTTTAAATTAATTAAATTGGTTCTTTATAATTTTTTTTAATTAACTAAAACATCTCCACGAACATTGGAAGTAATTCTTTGGCACTCTCACTACTGGAAGACAATCTTTACTCTATTATTTACACTTATTATTATATACTAGTAGATTGAAAGTTGACGGCTTGACGCGCATTTTTTATTTTAATGATAACAAATGAAAATAATATGTAGCTAGGTACATGAGTTAAAGCCATAGATGTGCTTTACCAAAAAAAAAAAAAAAAAAAGCCATAGATGTATGCACCGTACAGAATGTAAAGACATCTTGGTGGTTCAAGTCTTTATGAGCTTGGCTTGTATAATTTACATGTCTATTTAAGTACGTCATACTTATACTAAACTCATTTCAATCTCATTAGACCTATATAGCATCAATCAGGCTGGAGGATACACAGCCTCAACTTATGAGTTTCCAAGCTTTGATGTGGGATGTAGGGTATCCTTCCCTTTCTTTTTCATTGTCATGTTTTTGGATTTAGTCCACTATAGACCTTCATCTTCCCCATTTGTCCTTTAATGACTTATGGTACGTAGTGGTGGCAATTGAGGGTGACCCGCAATTTCTCTCTAACCGTTCGGTGATTTTGTTGTCCTTTGTTGTTTTCATTAGACAGCTTCAACCTAAACCAATGTAAATATGTTGGTCTGCAAAACATTGTGAATTAACAAGCATGGACTTAATTAATTAATGGGTTATATTTATCTTATGTTGTAGGAAAATGGTTGTCTCGTGTTAGAGGAATAAAATTACAAGTGGGACCCACACGTAAGAGGAAAGAGAAAAAATAAACGTGGGACCCACCTTCACTTTGTGTGTGTAGGAAACTTGTTTGTCTTATGTAACATAAAATAAATATAACCCTTAATTAATTGGGAAAAAAATGTCTGGTACAGTTTTGTTCATATGAACATTCTTGTTCTGTGGAAGAACTATGACTATTTGAGTGGTGACTTAATTATTGTACAAATTAAGGAGTGAGAGAGGGGGCTGAAGAGCATGCATTAGAGAAGATATATTATTCTCGATGGAGACTTGGATGATGTCATTTGGAGACAATTTGCACTTTTAAAAAAAGAAAGGTTAAAATAATTAGCTGCAGTAATTGATGATCGATATTGCTTTTTTAGATTCAATGGTAATATTTAATCTCCTCCACTAGCTAGACCACAAACAATGCATCTAGAACGGAATGTCTATAACGGGATGATGTAATATTTTCGCAAATATTTTGTTGAAAATAAGAAAAGAAAGGAAAACTCTTATCCGTTTTAGGAGAGCCACCTTGGGATGTGGGTTTTTGTGTCTCCATCCAAGGCCACAGTGAAAGCGCACTATATGCTGTATGATTAGATGTTTGTATAATGAAAGTAGCCACAATGATCAAATCAGGGATAAAGGAGAATAAGTTATGTGGGCAAAGTGGAAACAAAGCTGTTGCGGCTTTCCTTTTGTTTCATCATTTGGATTCCTGATTTCATCTTTTTCTTTTTTTCATTCTCAATTATATGATGAATTTAATTGTCTTTATCGATCACCATTGCTTTAACTGTTTAGCACAGGGAACCCCATATTACTGCTCTTGTTTTAGATAACGAGGAAATTTCTGATTAGCTTCAATTGATTGTCACTTCCTTTGCTTGCACGAACGTGGTTGAGAGAGTATATTCGGATCCATTATCCCATCTATGAACCCCGCAAGTGATGGTTCTACAGCATTGTTCGTTTGGGGTTTTGATATGCACGCTTTGTTACCTGATGAGACAGATGCACGATAACATATCTAAGTCAAATATATAACAATTGCATAAATGAAAACGGTGGATTTGTATGCAGTTTGTATGCAACATAGTTACTACTTTCTGTCACTTTAATTTACAGTTTGCTATAGGTTGGTTCGCCTCTTGAAGATTGTTTGGGTCAAATAGAAAAAAAAGTTACATAAAGGAATCAAAGAAAATTTCATGTAGACCGCCTCATTGATTTAAGGGTTTTATATGTATCATGTTGTAGGAAACTTACAAGGTCACATTACTCTAATACATTTGATGTGGGTCCCACTTAAAAAGAAAAAGAAAAAGAAAAAAACAAGGTAGGGCCATCACTTTTTGTGAGAGTAACATGACCTTGTAAGTTTCCTACAACATTATATATATAAAGAGGTAGTATCATTTGACACTGGTGTCAAATTTTAATTTTGACACCTTATTTGAGAGCCGTTAGATCAAAAAAGATCAATGGTGTCACATGCTTGTAAATCAGAGTCGTTGATCTTTTTTGATCTAACGACTCTCAGATGAGGTGTCAAAATTAAAATTTGACACCGGTGTCAAAGGATCTTACCTCATATATAAAACCCTTGATTTAAAATAACAAAGAAAGTACTTTTACTTTCTCGTTTTCATAAATTTTTATTCCCCTTAATTTGATTTTAAATGAAAGTCAAGTATCACGGTCGTACAACCAACTAGTTCAAAAGCATTCCATTGAAATTTGAAGTGGTTCTTCTCACTCTTCACTCGTGAAATTCAGTTGGTAAATTAATAACTAGGTAAAAAATGATGCTAAATAAAATTTACTACATTTGATTACTTAAAGAAGCTTTTGTAAAAGGGTTTAATCCGGTTATTGACTAGCCTCTCATGGTAACACTGTAAACAGAACATTATGAGAATCTAAACATATTAAGTTGATATTATATTTGAACAGTTAGTTTCGGTAACGCTGACAAATATGATATTATATTTGAATATTTCCACTATGCGTAACGAGTTTAGCTGTCTTTGTCTGTGGAATTTTTGCCAGTAGTAAATATTCTATAACAAAGGCAAGCAGAACTATGTGCGCGCAGCCGCAGGAGACGCTTAATTTCTATGTGTGTAATATAAATAGGAATATGCTTGTAAATGCTCGCAGGTGCTGTAGTCCTAATTGTAATCATAGGTTAGGGATAATGTCAAGTGGTGCCATGGTCCCAAATTGTGCACTCATTAAACACAAGCAGCTATCATGTTTGTATGCCTCCGTATTTGTCCGTTTTTCTTTTCTTTTGTTTGCATAATTAATTTTGGCCGTAAAATATCATCAAATAAAACTCCAATACATTAGTGTGTTACTTAATTCCATTGGAGATAAGTGTGAAACTTCCCCTTCTTGTCTAGTTTCTCCGTGTATGCAGACACACTCATTCCTCTCTTATTTTTAGACGAAATAGATAAAGGCAAGTAATATTCACTCTCATCTAGCTAGCAGCGTGATAATGAACACATAAGTAGATTCAATTTAGTTAATGGCATCTCTAGTGTCACTTCATGAGTTAACTTAAGCGGCTAATTAAAGATAGTTTTAATTTGCAGTAGATTTATATTGGCCCCACTGAGATATGAAAATAAACATTAGCAGATTTGTCCTGGCAAGCACCATTGCCTCCAGCACTTTTTTGTCACAGGCATGGCCCTCTTGTAGTTGTAGCTATTTTCCCTCATCCCATTCAACTATGTATTATTATCACACCACACTGCACTTTTTTACTATGTATTACTATATATTGTAAAGTAGGAAAAAAAAAAAAAAACTAATCGAAGGCTTTTCCAAGTCACTAGTGTCCAATGGGATGCATATCCCCATCAACAAGTTACCCACATGGACAGAGTGGTGCAGGATATGTCCCACATTTTCATCATCTTCCAACAACGTACGTACATATGCAAGGACACATTGTACCAACCCGAGGGCCTGTATTTGCCTTGAAGGCCACTACTTAGTAATCCCCACCTCATATGGCCCTGAAGCCTCAGCTAGTAGCCTAGTAGATACCTCTGCATCCGCCGGCTCCACGTCCATTAATTAACTATCTAGATATTTGCGGAACACTCAACTAAAGATAATACATGTTTGATGGCTCTGTTGACTTTGATAACATTAGAAATAATGGAAATGGATTTTATTTAACAAGACGATGTTACATGAAAAATTTTAACTATATAAAAATGAATGAATGACGATGATTTTATAATTATCTATTTTAATATATTTTTTATATTTTCTTATTATTATTGATCCATCTTTATATAAGTATGATTCTTTCATATGACATAATCATATTAAATAACATAAGAAAAATTTCCTCCCACACATAATACCTCAAAATATATATTTGTTCATATACATAACTCTCAATTTTAATGTGTTTCTTATAATTTTTTTAATTCGTTTCCTATATAGTTTCTAATTTGGTTCTCAATACGGATTGTTGTAATAATACTATTTGTAGAGTTATAATATAGTAAAATATAAAGACCAGATTCCAAACAAATATCTGCATCATTAGCACAAATATTTTGGTTCCTTCTACGCTAATTTTCGTGATTATCTATTGACAGAATCTTCTTCTTTAATCAGTTCAGTTATTATTATTTTTTGTAAGAAAATCTTTTCATAATCTTCATAACAATTCCAATTGGATAGTACTTAGTTGGTGGTTTCCTTAACCCCTGATTAATGTCAACTTCATGTAATTTCTTTCTGGCTAATATATGCCGTTAACATTCCCTCTTCTTATCCGCAAAGAACATAATCTTTCTTTAATTTTTTTTATTATGGAATTCAGGAGTTGAGTCTTTTCAGCATATTGACACCCGGTTTTGTTTAATCAAATATTTAGTATTTAACATCCGTAAATATAAATATATTACATAAACTAAATATTTTGATTTTGGGATATCAAATTTAATTATTCTTTATCTCCATGTGACGCAGCTGATTCCATTCCTTATCTCCTTTTGACGTTTTCCATTCCATATTCCATCTACCCGGATCGATTTGTTTACTTCATGTGGCAAACATAGTCGAAAAATAAAGAGATAAAAATGGGAATACCTTTTGCATTTGGCATCATGTAATGTCCACCTTGATGCTTCATTTTTTCTGATTTATTACATCAAATATATTCTTTACCCATTCGGTGGAGTTGAAATTCTCCCTAACTTTGATTCTACAATCTCTTAGGGTCACTTTTATTCGCATTGATTCACCGGTCATGCTGAAAAACTATCAAATCCTATACTTCTAATATGTACTCAATCATTGTTAATGGGTTAATCCATCTCATATCTCTTTCTCTTTTTAAGTTATTTTATTAGATTATGCTCTTAATCATGCATTAACCACTAGTCCTAAGTCCACGTAATTAGAAAAGCACATTAGCCAAAAGAAAAGGGGAAAAATCCACCGAGCAAGCCCAAATCTAATTGATAGAAACCACCAAAGCCAAATTGAACTTGGCCACAAGACATGCACAAGCAGAACTACCACTCGGAAAATCATGGATGAAAAGAGGTTATAGATATTTCTAAAAACAGAGTCTCTGATCATATTTGTATTTGTTCGGAAGCCAGAACTATTCAGGATGATAGAGATATATACGCTCTTACAGACCTATAGACAGCTAACACTTCTGAAAAGGACCTTTTGGCTTGCAATTGAACGAAAGTGGCTTAAACGTCAGTACCTTCGTTTCTATTCACACCCTCAATCATTAACAGATCGTGATTAGTAGTAATCTAATATTTGTGGAATAAACAAAAGTTTGTGACCTCATTTAACAATTGTAGTGCTTTTTATTGGAATGATGTTTAGATATTTATAACTTCCTGTTTTGAACACTGGCATCAAAAGTGGATAGAGCACTAGTCTTATGATGAGATTTATTATTTTTTTGATCAGGAGTTAGCCTCCAAAGTAATCTAATTATGACTACTCGTTTTAGTGTTGGAATCTTGTGTTGCAACATAGGAAAAGTAAAGAGAGAATACTAGTCCGATTCCCCAACTTGGGTGGATGTGTGACGTATAGCTTCACCAATCCCATATATATTTGATTTATATGCTCTTCGCCATAGATTTAGATAAGGAAACTAGCACTTCAAGTTCAGGTTCGTGCATGCATTTTTTGATGGATTAATATTTATTACTTGGGGCAGCGGAATGAAACAGCCCTACGGCAAATCTATAGTTAACTTTATCCTCTTTTTTTTTTAAAAATTCGTGAAGCACTCCGTTTGTCTCTTTGATGAGTGGTGGTTGGAAATTTAAGTGGGAATACTAAGATTAAACATAAGTGAAAAGACCATAAATTTGATGTTATGAATTGAAAAACGGTATCGGATTCATTTATTGTGGCCTGGCCCATTAATATATGAATAACAGTGTTTGGATTATATAAAACAAACGTACAGTACACATATATATAGTGTATGCCATCTAATATATAGCATCACGGCCATCACCCCATGGCAAAACCTTGGGTGAATCAGGTTGGAAATTTTCCTAGCTGAATCAGCTATAATTATATGCGGATCAATTCTATATATATGATTTTTGTCCATAATTCTTTGGGTGCCTGCAACTGCATAGTAGTTTATCTAAGTAGTTTTCAACTTTTCATGTATACCAAGAAGAACACCTGAAGGATCTAATATTCTGCTTGTCTCCCTCTTGGCCACAATGCTCGCTGAGCTATTGCTATCAGGAGTCAAGAGTAAGCTTTTTCAGAAATCTGCCATCAGGGCATCTTAATTTTTAGCTATTCTTCAATTATGTACATTTTCCAACTTGTTACAGCTTTAATTTGGCATCTCATGCTGTTCACTATAGTCAATTCCAACGCATATCAGCTCAACTGTATTAGTCTCTAAAAGTCCACTTATATATTAACTAGGAATTTCCTTAAGGCGTCAGAGACAGATACAACTATATCAAGTATAGATGTGCAAATCTCCAAGTTATAAGAGTGGATTTTCTTTTGATATCGCGTGGCCATAAACAGTGTTGCGTGTGAATAAGGATCTATAAATTTGGAAATTGGAACCGTATGATTGGACTTATGAGCACGATACTGGTTGTGGTTAGGCTTATCAGAGCGGATAATATATTGTCATGCATGACTTTATGAAGCCACCTGTAAAACAGAATTATCTCTATCTCTAAGGGCTGCAACAGATTGAGTATTTTGAGGGAAATCTTGGAAAAAATGGGATGAGAATTTTTTTTTACCATATTTGATATAAGTAATAGTAAAAAAATTTTGGAATATTTTTTTTCCATCGTTCCCGTTTTTAATTACACATGAAAAAAAATAATCTCATCCCATCCATGATATTATTTTTTTCCCACCAATTGGGAAACACATTTTCATATTTTAAGATAAAAATATCCTTATACAATATATCAACAGATGTGTAAAAATGGGTAATTTTATCTTTTCGGTTCAGATTCCCATCAATATTTTTACAATTAACCAAACGTAGCATTAGTAAAATTAACTCAGCTTTTCAGAAAAATTTTGACCTACCAAATACCTTTTCATAACTTATCCAAATTTTTTTTTCCACCATATTCCCCAAAATATTTTTTTCCAGGTAAAAAAAAAATTTCTATACCAAACGCCAGCTTCATTTGAGTCTTCCTCAATATTCTATTTAATTCAATTATATTTAATAAATTAATTAGAATCCATAATTAATAATTATATCAAAACAATTCTTCACAGCTTTGTGTTTTCATGTATATAATATAAATAAGAATCTAGATGTGGGGAAGGCAGGAGGCGAAATTATTCATAAGATGAACATATATAAAGATTTCACGTATCCGCTATTTAATCAAGATGTCTGTTTTGTGTCTGGGCATGTGATACGTTTTCAAATTTATGAAAACCCCGTATGCATGGACATGATGAAACTTTATAAATTATTAGATGTACCCCACGCATTTTTTATAACCCATTAATAATTAATTTGTAGATTAAAAATTTATGATAATAACTAGAAAAAATAATATTTTTCAATCTAGAGAAATTTACTATTATTATTGTGTTATCGAAATTTCGTAAATTATTATATCGTTTAATGAATTGTGATATATAATATAATTATTTATTAATTACGTATAAAAAGTTTAAAAAGTACTTTTAAAAATTCAAAATAAATAATCTTATATGGTTAACTTTTTTTATAATATAAGATATGAAATATATACTTACTCTACATTTTTCTTATATCTTCAACTGGTGATCGTGTTTGATGGTCATTTCTCCCGCAGAAAATCTCAAAATATAATCTTATGATTATATTTCTATATGTGGATCAAATCCTTTGTCTCCAGAAATTCATGAGCCCCGTTACTCGCTTGCCAAAGATTTTTGGTTAATGTCAATGGAGATCAATGATCATTTCAATATTCTGTCCCAGTGATGGGCTTGTGAAGTGATTGTTAATCCAACTGCAAGCAAAGGGCTTTTGTAACAGCCTACAAGTAGAATGGGTCGATTAGCCCATGGCCAATGACAACCGTAAGTTTTGGGGAAATAGAAAAGGTTTTGATATGGGTTAATAAAAAAATTATTCTACCTACTTTTTTTATTTTATTTTCTAACATCGTTATATCATAATTTTAATAGGAGAAAAAAATGATAAAAATAATTGAGATTCTGATTTAATAGCATTAGAAAGTAGTAGACAAAAATAGATAAAAAAAGAGATAGGTAGAATAATATAGAGAAAAATGTATGTCATTTTAAATAACCTTAATAAAACTATGTCGTTTTGGTGTATTTTTATATTTTCTCTCCTCCATTTTTTTTATTTCTAATTTTATAAATTAAAAAAAATGACAAAATACACCAAATAATATAATTTTATTAAAAACGACATAATTTTATATTATTTAAACGGAAAAGTATTTCTCTAGTCACTGGAGATAAAGTTATCTCTAATGAGCTCAAAACGACGTCATTTTGGGTTATAAGATTAAATTTTTTTAATGATAAAGATTAAAATAATCCTGTAATATATTATAATTACAAAAATACCTTTATTTTCGCTCCAAAACAATGTCATGCTCTCTAAAAATAACTTATCTCAATTGATTGAAGAAATCGTTTTACCTTATTTAAAAAAAATAAAATAACAAACACTACATTAAATAATATATCCCTAAAAAAAATTATAGCGTGAAGTTAGTAGTGAGCAAAAGCAAGTCATTAGTGTTTAGTGAAAAAGGTTGAGGTTGGAATGGAGCCACATATGGTTAATGAGGTGTCAGCAGATTAAGGTGCCATGTGTATATTTTTGGTTTCTTCTCGCTCTCTGTTCTGCCCCTAGTAACAGACTTTAGTCTCGAAACTGCACCTGCCGTTCCTAATTCTAAAAGGTTCGTAAGCAGAATTTGGAAGCACAACGCAGAAAACACTGAATTCAATTATCAAATGAGGACAGTAGTCTCGCGCTTGATCCATTCCACGCCCTCCATTTCCAGGCTCAAGTCAGCTCTTTCCCTTTTCACTTTCATTTATTTATTTTTTATTAAAAAAAAACCCGTTATACTCAATTCGATGTATGCTTGTTGGGGTTGGGGAATTAATCTTTTGATTTTATTTTCATTTTTTGGGTTTGCGTAAAACTATATTTGATTACCTAATTGATATGAAATTGAGCTCTATCAAATTAACAATGCTGCGCATAATACACTATAGAGGATAGCTGGTGCGAATTAAGTGTATTTTGAGTTCGTTTATTTATGGAAATTCACAGGGACATGTTTATAGTACAAATGTGATTTGAATTTTATGCTCAGTGGGGGTTGGGGGTCTTGGTTGCCTTCATGATTTGTAAATTACCCATAACATGGTGTTTTCCCTTTTCTTAACTTGAAGTGCAATAGCTGTTTCAAAGAACGGGAGAAATCTCTCCACGGACTCTTCTAACAAGGTGGATGAGCCCTTTAAAGTTGAAGAAGCAGAGACCGTAAATGTGCCCCCACCCCCAACAGAGAAGGTATTCTAAATTGATAACCATACGTGAACATTTATTTTTGTGATCTTATTTTGTCCATATGCCTTTTCTAACCTAATACTTTTATATATCTTGAATGTTATTCAAGTTGCTTGTGTTGGGAGGCAATGGATTTGTTGGATCACACATTTGTAGAGAAGCCTTAGGTCATGGTTTGTCTGTTGCGAGTCTTAGCAGGTTTGATGCCTTTTCATATTTGTGTTAACTATATTGCTTTTTTATTTATTTATTTTTATCTCTAAATTATTGTTATTTTCCCTCAATCTTTTCTTGCTTTTTAGGTTGATGTTGATGTTGTTGGTGTATTAGTCCACCATGCTTTATGTGTTGGAAGTCTTAATTGTTTCCTTATGGATATAACGGGATAGTCATGGGAAGTTAAATCAGTAGCATTTTATATTTTAATTCTGTTTCCACCCCACACTCGCTAGTCGGTATTAACTGGGAGTGATTTTTTTTGCAAGCCTTTTACCTCCTTTTTACATTTATTAGTCAACACTTTCTCCTTGTAATGTATCTGCCTTGCCATTCACTCTGTGTTTTATTTCCAGGTCTGGTAGGTCATCCCTGCATGATTCCTGGGCTAGCAATATAACCTGGTATAGAGGTCTGCTCTTTTTTCTTTCCCTTTTTTTTTTTGGCATTTCCTTGTAGGCAATTTCTTTACAGGGTACTCTTGTTGTCTAATATATATAAATTGCCTTCTTATTACTAGGGAATCTCCTTTCAACTGATTCATTAAAAGAAGCTCTGAATGGGGTCACTGCTGTTGTAAGTTTCCCTCTATCTTGTTATTATGCCCACCAAATATTCAACAACTAAGAGGAAGCATGAAGCCAAGATGGTTTTACTTTTTTTCTGTTTCATTTGCAATTGCAAGCTGTTGCTTTTGGTTTTAACCAATTCGTTTGGTGGCTATCCCATGTGCTTTGATCAAGTTTTCTATTCACTAGGGTTAATGATAAGAACTTTGGGATGTACCACCCCAAAAGCTAGCTGAAATGGTGGGAGTGCTCAGAGTCTTATAAACCCCTCTTTAGTTGCCCATACAACCAATGTGGGACTTCAAGTCCCATACCTTGCAAATGAGATCGTAACATTCCACCATACTCCGCAGCCCCAACGCCCACACAGGCTGACTTTGCGCAAGTCTTTTACTAGTCCCGGGCGTACACTGCAATGTCGGCGTCACCACCCGCGCCGCTCGATTGCAACCGGGAGACATAGTGGAAGGCTCTGATACCATTTGAAAAGAATGTTGGGATGCACCACCCCAAAAGCCAGCTCAAGGGATGGGAGTGGTCAAGGCCTTATAAACCCCACATTAGTTGCTCATACAACCAATATGGGACTTCAAGTCCCATACCTTGCAGATAGGATCGTAACAGTTAACCTCAATATTGTAAAGGAAAAGCATCTATATATATATATAAGCAAGGTTGTTGAATCGCAAACATATCGTATATCGATATTCGTATCGAATCTTAAGATTCACAAACATAATAATTTTTTTTTATAAATATATAATGTCATATAAATAGTATTTTAAGCCTCCAATTTCTCTCCTTGTGTCTGTATTATTGCTTTTTTAAAAACATCTGTAAGATACTCTGTTTTCTTGTGTGCAAGTCTCTGTTTTTCCAGTATCAGGTTTTTTTTTACACTAAAGAGATTTGTTTTAATTTGAATATTAATTTGATTGTTTCCCTAATTGTTTGTGACTTTTCATATTCATTTTTGAATTTGAATAAAAAATCTTATCTCTTGTTAGAAATCATGCTTTAGAAACTGCAATATTTTTAATTATTCAGGAGTCAGTTTTTATTTCTGTTTTAATGAGTTGTTAAGTAGTGAACAGTTACTTTTCTGCTTTAATGGGTAGTTATGAGGTGAGCAGTTTTCTTTTCTATTGATGGGAAGTTATGTAGTCGTGAGCAGTTTCTTTTTATTATTTTTCTTTATAAGTTGTATTGTTATGCATCAATAAACTAGAACCTCATTTCTCAATTATATTTTTCATCTCCAAAACCAACAATTGGTATCAGAGCCCTTTTCTTACGGGACCTGTAGAATGGATTCTGAAACAAGTTTTTCCCAAGCAGCTCTTCCAGTTTTCAATGGGGAAAACTATGATCTTTGGGCCGTCAAAATGGAGGCTTACCTAGAGGCTTTGGATCTTTGGGAAGCTGTAGAAGAGGATTATGAAGTCCTTCCTCTGCCGGACAATCCCACCATGGCCCAGATCAAGAATCATAAGGAGAAAAAAAAAACCGAAAAGCAAAGGCAAAATCATGCCTTTTTGCTGGTATCTCTACAACCATCTTTACTAGGGTCATGACTCTCAAATCGGCAAAAACAATTTGGGACTATCTAAAGGCAGAATATGCTGGAGATGAAAGAATTCGAAGCATGCAGGTGCTTAACTTAATGAGGGAATTTGAGATTCAAAGGATGAAAGAGTCTGAAACAATCAAGGAATACTCAGACACATTGTTGGGCATTGCCAACAAGATAAAGTTACTAGGCGGTAATTTTGCAGATTCCAGAATTGTTGAGAAAATTCTGGTAACAGTGCCAGAGAGGTACGAAGCATCTATTGCTTCGTTGGAGAACACAAAAGATCTGTCTAAAATTACTTTTGCAGAAGTGCTACATGCTCTCCAAGCCCAAGAGCAGCGAAGATTGATGAGGGAAGATCATGCTATTGAAGGTGCTCTTCTAGCCAAGAGCCAACAAACTAATTACAACAAAGGAAAGGGTGAAAAGAAAAGTTACCCACCTTGTCAGCATTGTGGCAAAATGGGTCACCCTCCTTTCAGATGTTGGCAGAGACCTGATGCTAAATGCATCAAGTGCAATCAAATGGGGCATGAAGCAGTCATATGCAAGAGCAAAAATCAACAGCAAGAGGAAGAAGCTAAGGTTGCTGATCAAGAGGAGGAGGAGGATCAACTCTTTGTGGCAACGTGTTTTGCAAGCAGCGAAGAGAGTGAGAGTTGGCTGATTGACAGTGGCTGCACAAATCATATGACCAATGACAGGGAGCTTTTCAAAAATTTAAAGCCAACCAATATCACCAAAGTCAGAATAGGCAATGGTGATTATATTTCAGTCAAAGGAAAGGGGACTGTTGCAATAACAAGTTGCTCAGGTACAAAGTTTATTCCTGATGTCCTTTTTGTACCCGAAATTCAACAAAATCTGTTGAGTGTTGGCCAATTGATTGAAAAAGGATTCAAAGTGCTTTTCGAAAATAGAGTTTGTCTCATTCACGATGAGAATGGAAAGGAAATCATCAAAGCAAAAATGAGAGGCAAGAGTTTCTCATTTGAACCAATCAAGGAGGAGCAAGCTGCACCAATCAAGGAGGAGCAAGCTGTTGTTTCCACAGAGGAGAATGTGACTGAGACTTGGCACAAGAGACTAGGCCATTGTCACCTCTCAAATATGTTGTTGATGAAGAAGGAGCTGTCAAATTATTTACCAACCTTTGCAAATTGTAATGCCTTTCAATTTGGCAAACAAAACAGAAATTCATTTCCTAAGTCAAGTTGGAGAGCCTCCAATAAGCTGCAGTTGATCCACTCAGATGTTTATTTTCATGAAGATAAGAAGTAACTGGAAACAAGCACAAGAGGCATCCATGAGTAAGCAGAAATCAAGTCCTTTCATCCAAATAAGCAAAGAGCAAGGAGTGGAACATTGGCAAGAAGAGTTAGAAGATGACCCACCAGACCCACCAATTCGTAATTTGTGCACCTGCAAGCAAATTTGAAAATCTAAGGAACAAGATTGCTGTTTGCAGCTCCAAAAGCAAGGAGGAGTGTTAGAAATCATGCTTTAGAAACTGCAATATTTTTAATTATTTAGGAGTCAGTTTTTATTTCTGTTTTAATGAGTTGTTAAGTAGTGAGCAGTTACTTTTCTGCTTTAATGGGTAGTTATGAGGTGAGCAGTTTTCTTTTCTATTGATGGGAAGTTATGTAGTCGTGAGCAGTTTCTTTTTATTATTTTTCTTTATAAGTTGTATTGTTATGCATCAATAAACTAGAACCTCATTTCTCAATTATATTTTTCATCTCCAAAACCAACATCTCTATTTCCTTTTCCTTATTAATAGTGACTTTTCAGATTTTTTTGAATTAAAAATTGCAAATTTTGATTTGATTTTAGAATCGTAAATTGTGATACGATACACGATTTGATATTGAATCTTACGATACAACGATTACGGTCCGATACAAGACCAATTCCAACCTATATGTATCACTCGGCTTTTGTATCGTATCATATTGTATCGCACAATATGTATCATGCATCATGCGATACTAACAACTTTGGCAGCAACAACAACTGCCTGTTGCACCAGGCACCAGCCACCTTCAAAAGCTTAGATCCTATCGTCCTCCATATTCACCTACCCTATTAGACTTTTCACCTTTTCACCTTTTCACTCCATTCACTCATTTTGTCTCTCCAAAAATTCTCTTGAAGATTTCAAGATGGATTGAGCATTTCTGTTTTCATATATGTATAGGCACTGTTCGTAAAAAAAGTTATGCAAAATAACTTGGCTCTTTTCCATTATTAGGGGATGTATACATTTAACAAAAGCATGTAGGAATACATGCTTTTTTATTTCGCACCTTGTTTTTATTTTGCATAACTATTTTTTTGTGACTGGTGTCTATACATATTCGATAAAAACAATGCTTAATCCATGTTGAAATCTTCAAGAGAATTTTTCATAGACACAAAATGAGTGACCGTAAAGAAATGATGAAATGTCTAATAGGGTAGGTGAATGTTGAGGAGGATGGGGTCTAAGCTTTTGAAGGTGGCTGGTGCAGTAGGCAGTTGTTTTTGCAACCACTAGAACAGTTGCATTTTCTTGCGTGTACACTCTCTTGAAATTATTTAGGTTGGACCCTAGGTTGACATTTGCACTCTGCAATGAGAACAAGAAGAAAACTCGTAGGCAAATTGTGTAGAAGAAACCAATGACAAGTTGGGTCGAATTGAACGTGGATGATTTGCTTTTGCCTCAATTTGTAGGCTGTGGTGGAGTCCTAAAGGACGCGTTCGGAGTGTGGCAACGTGGCTATACACAAAAATTAATTTTGGCATGCAAAGTTGATGAAACTGAGAAGATGATCATCTTCACAGGCTTGGAGTAGATGCGAGAGGAAACTCTTGGTGGAGTCAGATAACCAAGTGGTAGTGAATCTGGTGAATAATGGACGTAAGACTATGGACCCTGTCATGTATGGCATAAGGGATTTTCTTAGTTGTGACTTAGATTCAAGGTTAACTTGATTTATAGATAAACAAATAAGGTTGCTGACAAAGTAGTTGACAATGCTCGTTATTTGTCTTCTTTGGATCAAATTATTCTCTTATTAAGTGATTTATTAAGTGGCTTACTATTTTCTTGTTTTTAAGGTGTCTTGTTAACGAAGCATGTAGGCAGTTTGTCAGGAGAGAATCCAACTCCTATGGATCGAAAGAAGACAAATAATGTGCATTGTTAGTTACTTTTTCAGCAACCTTATATGCTTCTCTACGGAACCAAGTTAACCTTGCTTCCCAATCATAACTAAAATGCTCCCTTATGCCACACATGAGAGGATAATAAGTCTTATGTCCACTATTCACCAGACTCACTACCCCTTGGTTATCTGAGTCCACCAAGAGTTTCCTGTCGCTTCTATTCCAAGCCTATGAAAATGACCATTTTCTCGGTTTCATCAACTTTGCATTCCGAAATACAATTGTATGCAAAGCCATGTTGCCATACTCCGGACGTGTTCCTTAGGACTCCAACATAGCCAACAAATTGAGGCAAAAACGAACCATCTACGTTCAATTTGACCCAACCTGTCATAAGTTTCTTCCACACAATTTGATTACGAGTTTCTTGTACTCATTGTGGGCTCCAAATATCAATCTAGGCTCTAACTGCAATAATTTCAAGAGAGTGTATATGTCACAAGCAAATGCAATTGTTATGGTGGCTGCAAAAACAACAAGTGTTGCATCAACCACCCTCAAAAGCTTAGACCCCATTGTCATGTCCCTTATTAGGGTTTCATCATTTTTGTTACATTCAAGATGGATTAAGCATTGCTGTTGTCAAATATGTATAGACACTATTCATAAAAAAAAGGTTATGCAAAGTAACTTAGCTCTTTTCCATTATTAGGGGACCTATACATTTAACAAAAACATGTATTCCTTTTCTTGTTTTTTCATTTCGCACCTTGTTTTTATTTTGCATAATTTTTTATTTTTTTATGAATAGTGTCTATACATATTCGACAACAACAATACTTAATTAATCTTGTAATCTTCAAGAGAATTTTTCGAAGAGACAAAATGAATGAATGTAAAAAAATGATGAAAAGTCTAATAGGGAGGTGAACGTCGAGAAGGATGGATTCTAAGCTTTTGAAGGTGGTTGGTGCAATAGGTAGTTGTTGTTGCAACCACCACGATAGTTGCATTTGCTTGTAGCGTATACATTCTCTGGAAATTATTGGGGTTATAGCCTAAATTGACATTTGGAGTCCGCAATGAGAACAAGAAGGAAGCTCGTAGCCCAATTATGTGGAAGAAACCAATGACAGGTTGGGTCAAATTGAACGTAGATGGTTTGCTTTTGCCTTCATTTGCAGGCTGTAGTGAAGTCCTAAAGGACGCGTTTTAAGTGTGGCTATATGGCGATACACAAAAATTAATTTTGTAATGCAAAGTTGATAAAACTGAGAAGATGACCATTTTCACAAGCTTGGAATAAAGGCGAGAGGAAACTCTTGTTGGAGTCAGATAATCAAGAGGTAGTGAGTCAGGTGAATAGTGGTCATAAGACTGTGGACCCTCTCATATGTGGCATAAGGGAGTTTTTTAGTCGTGACTAGGAAGCAAGGTTAACTTGATTCGTAGATAAGCAAATAAGGTTGCTGACAAAGTAGCTGATAATGCTCATTATTTGTCTTCTTTGGATCCAATTATATTCTTGTTAAGTGATTTTACCGTGATTTATTAAATGACTTACTATTTTCTTGTTTTTAAGGTGTATAGGTGTCTTGTTAAGAAAGCATGTAGCCAGTTTGTCGGGAGAGAATCTAACTCTTATGGATCGAAAGAAGCCAAATAATAAGCATTGTCAGCTACTTTTTTAACGACCTTATTTGCTTCTCTACGAATCCAAGTTAACCTTGCTTTCCTATCATGACTAAAAAGCTCCCTTATGCCACACGAGAGGATGATAAGTCATACGTCCACTATTCACTAGACTTTATAACCCTTGGTTATATGACTCCACTAAGAGTTTCTTTTCGCCTCTATTCCTGCAACAAGCCTATGAAAATGGTTATCTTCTCAGTTTAATCAATTTTGCATTTTGGTTAACAATTTTGAGCAAAGCCACGTTGCCACACTCTGGACGTGTTTCATAGTACTCCAACACAGCCTGAAAATTGGAGCAAAAGCGAACCATCTATGTTCAATTTGACCGAACCTGTCATAAGTTTCTTCCACACAATTTGGTTATGCGCTTTCTTCTTGTGCTCATTGTTATCCCAAGTTGTTACCTGACTTGCATCTCGATATCACCCCATTCACTCATTCCTTTATAACAATAGAATATCCTATTACCCAGAAAAGCAATAAAATGGTAAGCCTGCTACTTTGATCACTTGCAGCCACCGCAACAGTAGCATTTGCTTGTAGCATATACACTCTTAAAATTATTGCGGTTAGAGTCGAGTTTGTTACCAAGTTGCTTTTCTGGGTAACAACTTTGTTGAAGCCTGACTTCTATCACTGGTGAATTTAGATAATGTTGACGAGAATGATAGTACAATTTGGTTGAAAGTCACGTAAAGATGGGGGAACGAGGAGTAAGAATTAAAAGAAGATGCTAACAGATTGAAATGGAAAGAGAAGTGAATGTTTACGATTGACTGGGAGATAATTTTGGGGCGAAAGAATTGTAGTAACCATGGCTTACTTACTGATTTAATGTGTCTTTATTTTGTTGCTTAGGGTACATAATTATACTTAATGTTTTATTGTTTTCCTTTTGAATGATAAGTTGTTTTGCTAACTTTTGTTTCTTTTCTAAGATTTCATGTGTCGGTGGTTTTGGCTCGAACTCATACATGTACAAAATTAATGGGACTGCTAACATCAATGCAATTAGAGCAGCTTCAGATCAAGGTAATTGAAGAATTTGCACATTTGTTCTTTATAATCTACTTTTTCCATTCATACCATCCTTATTTTTGGCACTGCTGCTTAGTTACAGGGCAAATGCCCATGCTCATCTTTCTTTTGAGCTTACAACAAAAGCAACGAAGCCTTATTCCACTAGGTGGGATCGACATTAATCAAATGATGCTATTGGGCTTAAAGAAACAAAAAAAAATTTTTAAATAAAAATGTTGTACAATTAATTACAACTGAACTTCCACTTAAATATATAAACCCATTTTTTTTAAAAAAAAAGAAAAAGAAATACAAATTTGCATTTTGAAAATAAGCTTCTGTAGATCTCACTAAAAATATCTTAATAATTGGTAGTGTCTCAAGTTCTCTCTCTACGAGTCTAGGAGACCATTATCAATGATGCAGCATTAATATAACAATATTTTAATCTTCCACCAACATATAGGGGTTTACTGTTTAATCCACTTTATATGCTGATACAGACCTTCAACCCAAATATAGATCAATAACAGTGAACCAAGTGTTTTTGGTCTGAATAATCAGGTTTTTCATATATTGATGAAATTCAAATGACAATTACATGGACTACGACAATTAATAGAGACAATTTAACAATAAAAGGAACAATTACAAGATCTGGAAATCCTTAACAGTAAAGGAAATCACCCTAAGGTGCCCAAGTTCCAAATGCCCAAAGATACCTCTTCTCACTTTCCTTCTGCCTTTTAACCATCTCCCCTCTCTCTTTGCCACCTCATCCATTCTAACAGAATTGGAGCCTTCCAACAACCTCACCTCTAGAATATTCCCTTTATGAGCTGAGTCATCCTTCCCAAATAATTCCCTGTGGCAATTCTTAGGATAAATCATTAGTGGGGTCCTATCATATGCACTCAAAGATATGCATTTGTATAAGTGTTTATGACGAAGAAATTGCTTACCAAAAGCATTCTATATTACCAAACTTATACAAGAACACAATCATGGTTTTGCTATATTACAAATGGAAGTACCAAAATTGTGAACTTCTACTGCAAAACTTGTTAATTTTTTTTGGGATTATTATTTACCGGAATCAATATATCAGCTCAATATCTCCTTACCTGTGTCACTATTGAGGTGTAAGAGCTAGCAGCAGCAGCAATCATGAAGTCCTTTCTACCCCTGATAGATTTCTAGCTGCCCTTCACCAGATACAGTCATGAGGTAGTTATAGCCATGGAAGTACAAATAAGGCTCATATCTTCCTATTTGGATAATTTTGAGAACCAAAAAATAAAATAAAAATGAAAGAACTCAATGCTTTGTTTCCCCGAACTAAAGATTAAAGGCAATCATATCTCTTACTATGTAATTATTGATGCAGGAAAATTAAACCATTGGAAGTTACAAATTATAAGAAATAAATCAATAGTGGCTTAAAAACAAGGAAGGGGAGAGGAAAAGGAGTCATGGGAATTAGAGGGGTGATACTGTCAGTGGGGGTGGAGAAAATTTCTTAGGTGGCTGGTCACTATTGTATGCCTTGTTACATGAAAGAGTTTCTGTATCAGTGTAAACCACAGCTTCAGGTTTTTAGGTTTATATATAGTACGGCCGTAACACTTAATCCAGGAATTGCCGTACTTTCTTTTAGCTGGTCAATTAAGGAAGACAGTTGTCAAGCCTTACGAGAAATTGGAGTAAGATAATATATATTAGACGCAGTTTTCCCCTTAGGATAATATATGTTAGGCGCAGCCCAATTACAAGCTTTCTGTTATGAGAAGTCTCTAGCCCTTATTATCATGTGTGTGAGCTCTCTGTTATAAGTTTCTGTTTCTCTGACTAATAATGCAATAATCTAATAATATTCTATGCTTTTATACACATTTTGCCTATTTGGGCCATGAAAGGTCTTTAGAACAGTGCTTCATTTCATGTAGGCGAATTTGGATATGTTGTCTCTGTTATGCTTTTCCTTTGCCAATATGTCTATATATTTATTTGTTTTGTGAAAAGTCTAATGACAGAAGCCAGTGTTTACTTGATTGAATTCAACCATGAGTTTATTTTGTCTCCTCTAAATTGTTAGGTGATATTTACGCAAGGAGTTGATTTATTGGCTTTGAAGTTTTGGAAACTCTTGCTTTTTGTCAGTTTATGCTTAGATTGGAAAAGGGATTGCTTTTTTTTTTTTTTTTTCAGTTGTCTATATTAGTTATTGTTTTCTCTTCTAGAGTACTGTGCTACTTACTGTTATTGGATGATTTCCTTTGGTCCTACAGGTGTTAAAAGATTTGTCTATATCTCTGCCGCTGACTTCGGTGTAGTAAATTACTTACTGCAGGGATATTATGAAGGAAAGGTAATACGTCCAACTTTTCATTCTGAGGAATGAATCATCACTTGATGAAATTTGTCAGGAAATTTTATTGTAAAAACCCTGCCGCAAAATGTTCAAAATTTTCTATTGAGGATCCTTCTCTATATGATGAAGTATTAACAAATTTTGTTTTGTTGATACATTGACAGATAAAGAAAGAAAGTAAAAAAGAATTTTTAATGCTTGTTTGATAGTTTCGTCTCAACTGTCAAGTGTAAGTCATTTAAAATTACAGGTTATGACAGAATAAAGAACAGTCTGCTTTCTTGATTAACAGAGAAGGAATAACCCCTTCAACAGACTGGCACTGGAAAGGAAATGAAGAAAAAGATTCCTAGGAGAGTATTTCCGTGCTGTATATTTCTTGCTCCCAGTTAATAGCTAGAAATTGGAAGCAGTAATACCTCCCCAATTCTTTAAACTCTCCTATTTAATTTAACCTCCTGTCTAACCATCTTTTGTGTACTTGTCCCCCTTTCTGGCTCCACTCTAACAGAATTCTCATGTCCGTCATGCCTCCTGATTCCAGAAGATCCATCTCCCAATGGAATCATTTACTGATTAATCTCTCCTGCAATAACCTTCCCTTTCTTCCTTCTTGAGTGGACTAGAGACTGACATGGTCTTTCTTCAATATGGATTGGGCTTCCATCAGTTAAGGTTGGGCCCAAGTCATTGTATCTAACAGACCATTTAAAGAGAAAACATACATTCACCCAAAAAAAAAAGGAAAAAAGAAAAAGAGAAACATACTGATTTCAGTGGTTGGCCCGTTTTCTTTTTGTTGCTGCTAATAATTATACTTGACTTCTTTAGTCATTAGTTTATGATATACTGAATTCTCCCTCTTTAGGTTGAAATGTTTATCATGTACCCGTGCTTCTATTTCTTCAAAAGAAAAAAATATATATGTAAATGTTATGCTGAGTGATTTTTTATTTTAATCTCATGAAATTATATATTGTGTCTTAATGGATGTAGAGAGCTGCTGAAACAGAGCTTCTGACCAGATTTCCTTATGGAGGTAATTATTGTCTCTTAACATTGCTCATGGGGAGGTATAAATTAGATCCACACGAGACTTCAAAAATTGGTTTAAATTTTATTTTTCAGCTTGTAATGTGTAGCTATCATATTTGATAATAAGTGACACTGTTCATTCTTACCCAACTTTAGCAAAGATGTTTCCAAGTAAAAGAAAGTAAATTTCAGTCTAACTGAAAAATGTTAAGTTATTGATGGTTCTTGGTATGGGGTATCACGATCGTACATGATTGGAATATTACATGCCTTTTTCAGGAGTAATTCTGAGGCCAGGATTTATTTATGGGACTCGAAGTGTTGGGAGCATGAAGATACCCCTTGGTGTAATTGGATCTCCATTGGAAATGGTAATTTCATGTGCTTCTGTGGTATCACATAGACATTTCTTTTTAAGGTCAGACGTACAAATAATTTTGATCCTCTAATGAATTGACATTAGTTTTGTACATGACCTGACTAAGCGAAATTTTGTAAGGTTTTCCCCATCTTTGCATTCTTTATATTTCTTACATTCAATTATTATTGTCTAGACACTTGACCAGTTGATTGATTGGGTTTTGGGGTAAGCATCCTGAAATTGAAGTTAGAATTCCTCTATTCCGTGATCAAAGTTCTGACTTTTCTTCAGTATTGTATGTTTGCATTTGTATATTCATAGCCTAGCACATTATACTTTTTAGGTTTTCACTAGTTGATTAATGCTTAAAAATGCTTTACTTATCCTGAATATCAGCTTAAGAAATTTGTTGTATTCTTTTGTTTCCGACTGTAATTCACTTGAGTGGTGTAGGTCCTGCAACATGCTAAACCATTGAACCAGATCCCACTTGTTGGGCCTCTATTGGCACCTCCTGTCAATGTTACTGCGGTGGCTAAAGTTGCTGTTAGAGCTGCTACTGATCCTGTTTTCCCTCCGGGGATCATAGATGTCTATGGAATACAACGATACAGTCAGCATAAATCAAAGTAGAATTATCTTCATTTTATTTTCTGGGTAAATCTGATTTGGGGCGGTTTGCCTCTGAATTTCCGTGTTACTATTGTTAAACTGAGAAGGAGAATATTTCTCCATGCCATTTCTTTGACAGAATAATATCTGAAAGTGCGTGTTTGTAACCATAGATAATTCTTTCCAATATCCTCAATTCCAGTATGTCATCTTTTTTATGAACTCTCTCGCCTGATGTAATTAACCACGTAGGTGGGGTCTATGTATACTTGATTTCTTTCAAAAAACGGAGAGCATTTGTGATCAAGGTGTTGTCACATGATTTTCAAAGGCAATAAAATAGATTTCCTTCTTACGCAACTTTTGTGACAACTTTTTGTTTAGCCTGCGTCCATAAATTCAACTACTTACTTCCATTGAGAAAACTAGGTTGCATTTGTATGTTTGTATGTCTGGAATAATTGATAGGTAATTGACACAAAGTTTCCTGGTTCATAAAAGATAAAGAAAAAGAACGAGCAAACAAACAAATGGATGGAAAAACAAAAACAAGACCTATAAGGTTGATATTGTGCATTTGAGGTGGGACCTGTTTGGAATGGACCAACTCTGAATCGAATTCTTGATGTCTAATAAGTAATATTAGTTATGAATTTTGACTGTCTATATTTTCCTCGTATTCTCTTAGGTATTTTGAGAATCTCTCTCCAATCAAACCTCAACCTTTGTTTTGCATAGGGAGAGTACAAATGGAAGTAAAAAAAAAAAAAAAAAAACAACGAACACGCCTCATCATTTTGTTATTTCTTCTATTTTTTTCTTCCACTATAAAGGTTTAGGTAGTTGGACAATGTTACTCTAAACTGAGATTTTGTTTAAAGTGCGCAGGTAACAATGTATTTATTTTTTATTTAGTTTAAAATATATTATAATTTTTATTTGATTGAATATTGTAATATTAACTCGCTATAATTTAAAATTAGATGTACTTTTATTTATTTTAAATTTAGAGTCTTTTTAACATATTTTTAAAAGTTAAAAATTACTTTTAACTTAAAATAAAAACAAAGTTAAAAGATTTTTATAATTATATAAAATTTTGAACTTAAAATTTACTTTAAAGATCGAGTTAAAAATAAGTTGTTTGGTAAAATAATTTTTGTAATCTCCGTTCTAGTTTAAATTATCATAAAGGGTGTTATAAAAAAAAAAAAAAAATTATCATAAAGGGTATTAGAAATTTCTATTATCGAAATAAACACAAATACGATTAAAAAAAATAAAAGATAAAGATTTTAAAGGTAAAAATAGTTTCAATAATGAACAAAATATAATTTATTCATTCTTCTTGTTAACGATCTCAACATTTATAATGAAGGAGGAGATAGAATGATTATTCATTACGATATAAAGTAGAATTTATAAATATAACTTTAAAATAAGAATATAATTGAAAAGAAGATATGAGAACTCAAAAAAACTCCTTCGAAATGCTTCTATTTTTTTGTTTTATTTTATTCATTAATAGAAAAGTTCTTTTATTATGAAAATATATTTTATTAAACTTTTCCTTTTAAGAAAAAAAGCTAAGAAAATAATCACTTTAAGCACCTCTTTGGTGGACAGATAGAGAGGATATGATAGGATATGTTATTAGATCATGCTTTATCCATCATTTGTTGAAGTAATAAGATATGATAAACTTATCTTATTGGCTCATTTTATCATGTCTGTAATGAGATAAGCTATACTAGGGGGGGCTCAGGGTAAGAAGGCTCAGGTTAAGAAACAACAAGATCGGATAGCAAATGTCACATCCTCTCATTCCAAATATAACCAAATGCTCTTCCTCTACGAACATTACTGGGCATGTGAGGGTCAGCATTTCCTACAGCCGTCGGCCATCAGCCGCCTTTATTACCCACTACCGCCACCACTATTACCACTAGCCATCACCATGAGCTACTAGCTATCACCATTGTCATCGACTACAACGACGTCCAACCACCAAGCACCACTAACCACCATCATTGATCAGGCCCCACAATTTCCTCCACTCACCACCATCTCCATCGCTACAACCACCACCAACTAGCCACCACCTCAAGTCGCCACCATCCCTAACACCAAGCACCAACTGTCACCGCCATCACTACTACCATCCATCATCATCAATTAACCACCACAATTGCCACCTATCAACGTCGGTGTCGCCACCACCACCACCAATCACCCTCACCTGCCACCATTGCACCAACAACTACCATCATTGGCATCAATCAATAACCGTAATTGTCACGTGTTATTACTGGCACTATAACCACCGCTCATTGTCACCTGATCCTATAACTAAATTACAAACACCAATTCAATCGGTCACCCATACCACCACCACCCACCACTGTCACTAGTCACGAGTCATTAATATTGACAATCAATTTAAAACTTAATTTTAAAAATTTATTTGGTGAGGATATAATTTTTAATATCTAAAAAAATTGAAAGTTATTTATGTATTTTAGTATATTTTATTTAAAATTATTACTTTTAATTTTTTTAATAATTTAAAATAAGAAATAATGTGTAAATAAGTAAAAAAAATGTATTCGAAAATCAATTTTAAAATTCATTTGAAATTCTATTAAAGAGGTATTCCTGTTTTTACCAAAAAAAGAAAAAGAAAAGGTATTCCGGTCTATTTATATTATATCATAATATTATATGGTTCGCCTCATACACCGGATAAAATGATATTTTTCTATCAGACCGCTTATCTAGTGTACATAAAACACATGATATGAAATGAGTTTATCAGCCTTATATCCTATTCATTAATATTATATCTTATCCAGCAAATGAGGCCTAAAAGATATATACTTCTTCTTACGGGTACATAATATCACTTTAAAAGAGCTCATTTAAAAAGAAATCTTTCCTATATAGTAAGTTGAAACTTGATGTTTGAAATTTATATATAAGGGGTTTGTTTTTCTCATGTAATAGGAGAAAACAAACCCTTTCCATACATATCATAAAAAGATGTGCCATCTTTTTTTTTGATTTTTTGTTTTTTTGTTTTTTTTAAATAGGTGAATCCCATATTTAATGTATCTATGATATGATATTAGAATTTTCCTAAATCCTGAAATTGACGGGATATTGTGAGCTTATCCATGCGGTTATGCACCCTTCGAATAGAGGAATCCATTTTCTGAAAGGCGATCGGAAAAGAAAGAAATAGTTAATATATTCAAGATAATTATGTATTTACAAAATACCGTCGGTATTTGCCCCCATTTTTCTTCTTGTATTGGGAATCAAAGAAAGAGAATTCAGTACTTCTTGATCGTGAATATCTGAATAAGACAAACCGCCCCGTTTTTTCCTATATTATAAAGCATATTTCCACGTTCCCTCTGGGAACTGGACTACAGTTAGGGGTGCTAAACAAACCAGGGGCCTTTGGCTCGGCTCGTAAAGGCCTGATCTTACATGTCTAAAATTGGTTGTTGGAACCAGGCTTGAACTTATATAAAAGCTCGTTTAATAAAAAGGCCTCAAGCTTCAATTTAAAAGCTCGGCCTTAAAGCCTCTCAGGCTGACCTTGTATACTAATTTTTATTTTTATTTTATATTTTTTATACTATTCATAATAGCCATCTCTCGCTCCTCAATCCATTTCACCCCATTTTATTAGTTAAACAGACTTTTTGAATGATTTTGTTCTATATTATGCTTTTTGGATATACATTGAATTTGTAAATCTTTGTGAAATTATTAGTGTTGTGGATCATATATTTTGTTTGAATAAATTTTTGTTGTTTTATTTTTTTAAATAGGCTAAACCAGGCTTTTATTTTTTGAAAATAAGTTAGGCCACAGGTCGATAATTATATTTGTAACAGGTAGCAGGCTGTGTCAGGCTAACACATTTAAACACATGCAATTAACCTTTTAAGACCAAAGCTCGGCTCGGCCCGTTAACACCCCTAACTACAATAGGGTTTGAAGGGCTGACAGACCTGACAGTGCAATTGCATACTGCTTTTGTAAAATAAAAAGATTTCATAAAATAAACTAAATGACTTTTGAAAATAAAATTGACTTGATTTATGTGTTCCAGTCATGTATATGAATCCAAGTCCATGGAAGACCTACGCGGCTGAATGACAATTGAATCGAATTTGATATGTGAAAAAATAAAAATAAAAATCATTCTCTCGTGGATATTGACTTTCACCGGTCAGTTTCAGTAGTCAATTTCCTTATAGATCAGAAGGTCAGGGAAAGATGAAGAGAAATTTAGATGAAAATGCCATGATGAAGAACAATAATTGTCAAAATGGAGACAGTAATAACAATATTTTATTATATAAACAAACAAGAAACAACTACGAATTGCGAAAATGTTGACTATGTTGTCCAATGTTCACAATGACAGCCAATTGCCATAACACGATCATCAAATCTTCAAATAGAAGCAGTGCAGCCTTTCCTTGATAGTTTCTCCTTGAACCAACCCTCTTTTCCTTCTTTTAAACTAATTGTTCACATCATGAATATCACATTGAAGGTAGCTGCAAAAATGGGAGATATTGACTTGCTCTACACACTGATTCAGGTGGAACCATATCTCTTGGAGCACACTGATTTGATACCATTTGTTGATACTCCTTTGCATATTGCTGCTGCTTCTGGGCATGCTAGTTTTGCCACCGAGATTATGAGACTCAAACCTTCCTTTGCTTGGAAGCTAAACCAGTATGGACTTAGCCCCACGCACCTTGCATTACAAAATCAGCATTATAGAATGGTGTCTCGCTTTATAGACATCAATAAAGACCTCGTCCGAGTCAAAGGGAGGGAGGGTCTTACTCCTTTGCATGTTGCTACTCAAATTGGAAAACTTGATCTTATAGCTAAGTTCTTATCAGCTTGTCCAGGTTCTATTGAAGATGTCACTGTTCGAAGTGAAACTGCTCTGCATATTGCTTTGAAATATAAACAGTTTCATGCTCTTGAGGTCTTTGTTGGTTGGCTTCAGAGGAACCCCCAAAGACAAGCTCAGAAACTAGAAAAAAAGGTTCTAAACTGGGAGGACGAGGCAGGCAACACCATTCTGCATGTTTCAGTTCTCAAATGCTTCTCACAGGCATGAGACATATATATCCTTGTAAGTGTTGATTATTGTTTCAATTAATTCAGCTATCATATATGGTGCATTTTATTGCTTGTGCAGGCAGTTAGATTGTTGATACATAGCAACATAGACATAAATGCCAAGAATTTAGAGGACTTAACAGCATTGGACATAGTGGAGAATAATCACCCCCATGCTTACAATGCAGAGATTAGGGATATGTTACTCAGAGCTGGAGCTTTACGTGGCTTTTCACTTGATGCTTCTCCACTATGTGAAGAAGAGCTAAGATCGAAAATCACATTTAATGAGAGAGTAGCAATTTATGTTACTCGCATCAAAAGGAGAATATCAAATGACACACGTAATGCTTTGTTGGTGGTTGCTATTCTTTTTGCAACAAGCACATATGAAGCAGTACTTAGTCCCCCAGGTGGAGTTTATCAAGCTGATCAGAGTAGTGTTGAACCCTTTAAGAGGACTCATTCATCTCTCAAGGCTCATGATGATGCAAGGCAAGAAAGTGTTGGAAAAGTGGTGATGAAAAGTCAAGTATTCTTTTGGTTTTGGTCATTTAATACATTTGCCTTTTATCTATCAATTTTGATGATATGCTTACTAATGCCTAGAGGGCGCATTAGTGTATTAGTGACTCCTCCACTTTCTCTATTTTCGGGTTGCTATGTGTTCTCCATGCTGGTCATATCACCTAGCCCTAATTTAACCATTGCCTCTGTGGTTCTGCCATGCCTACTTTTAGCATTGTACTTTTGGGGAACTTCAACATATGTTAGATTAGCCAAAAAACTTCGAAGATATAGTCCTAAAAAGGAAGACAAATCAAGGTTTTCAGGAGGAAACAGATGGTAATGGCATAAATGTTGTTGCAGGATGCAGGATATGACTGGCTAACTCATTTTCACAGGGACCACAGTGGAAGAGTCACCTTCTCACATGACAAAGGGCAAGAATTTGTCTTTTTCATATAATAATTCTAATGGAACTTTAACTTTAACTTCACCGAGCTGTCCTTATGGAAAGCCAAGAGGGCACAAACCTGTAAAAGTGTAATGACACTAAGTTTAAATGTTATTTTTTTTTAAATTATTTTCAATGATATGATTAATTACAATGTTTATTTTTATTTTTATTTTTTCGAGTTAATCCAATCCTAATTATCTCTTAGAAGCGAGTTGGCTCTCTCGGATATTCCCACAAGCTTCGACTCTTTGAGCGGTAATGAGAATAATACTGAATGCTAGGTAGGTTAAAGATGAATTAAAATCGTAACGTGATATGTGAGAATCGAACTGAGACTTTTTTCTTTTCACTTAATCAGCTCTTTTGCTATTGTAACATCCCGAGCGCTGACGAGGGCGGAGAGTGGTCGCCGGTGCAAAGAGGCACGGACAAGGAGCGGCTCCTAACAGGCTTCCAGCGGGGGGTTACATGTATGAATGAATCGAATCGATACACGAAAGAGAAGGATTCCAAAGACTGTGCAGGTATAAGACTGCACAGTTTGGGATAACTTATAAGAATTAATTGGTACTACCTATACTAACAAGATGCATCTGCTTTTCGATAGCCCGGATCGGAAGAACTCTACAGTTAAGCGTGCTTGACTTGGAGCAATTCTGAGATGTGTGACCTCTTAGGAAATTTTCCCAGGAAGTGTGCGAGTGAGGAAAAAGGGCACTGAAAAGTCTCGTGTTAATATGTGGAGATAGTCATTGATTCTTGAAGCAGCCAGACATTACAGCTATCAAATGAGCTACCATTATTTGGTGATTAATTACAATGTTATTTATAAAGAAACTATTATTACATCTTTGTTACCCTAAAAGTATGTCAAATGTGTAATGTCTTAGTTTATATAAAATGTTTATATTTGAATCTTCTATTTGTATTTAAATTTTGTTAAACCTGCAAAAAAAAATTTGGGACATGTAATATATGTCTTCAGTTTCTATGCAAATCTCATATTAACTTATATTTATATTTTGAGTTGGTCAGTTATTAAATAATAAATTATTGAATATGTTCTCTGTTTTTAAAATATTAAAAGCTGCAAATTTTAATTTAATTATTAATGAAATATTAAAAAATATTTTTGGAGGATATCTTATGAAATAATTACTTGCACCTAGAATCAACCTAAACGTTTAGAATACGGATATGAATTGTTTCGCGGCAAATGTCATGATCTCTTTGGTGAAGACGCATTGTTAAGGTGGTAGCTGTTTTCCCTGTATAACACTCGTGTGTTTGATACAAGAGAAATTTTTTGGTGACCGGAAATCATGATTAATAAGAATCCAGTAGAAATTGAGTTTACTTGGAATCTTACGAAAGAGGTGTTTGGTTCGTCAAAATATTACCGGAAATATTAGGTAAAAATTACTGATTCCATATTTGGTTTAGAACGAAATATGACTTGGAATATGAGATTATTTTACAAAAATAACCCCAAACTATTTTTACTTTTGTAATTGATAGATTGGGTCTAGATTTTTATGTGTATTGAGGTATTTTTGTCTCAAAATTTATTGTTGTATTTTCCCTTTACTTGGTATTCTGATTGGTATTCCGAATTACCATATTATTTTTGGTAATCTGAATAGTGACTTTTCTTTATAAATCAAATTACCGGTAATCCTTGAATATCCGAGAATCGTAATTTATTCCTTCTACCAAACGTGGTAATTACATTTACCAAAGAAAGATTACCGGTAATCCTCCTCAAAAACTTGAAACAAACACCCCCTCACGGATTTTGAGATTACCGTCCTAAAAGTAAATTCAAAGAATTAAAATATCCAAAGTTTTATAAAATTGCACATTAATTGACCATACATTAATCAATGCGTCATTTGTAAGAGGCATTCTCCTCTCTTAGCTGTTTCTCTTCGACCCCAATTGTACCAGTTGAGTGTGGGGTGTCATATCACAGGACATTGACCATATTGTCACTCCTTTAATAAAAATTTACCTGATTGTCACTTCTGGAAAAAAAATTGTCAAAATGCCACGCCTGAATCCCGCTGGTCTGACAAGCGGGAATGGACTGGACACGTGTCAGCGTCTGAATGGTCAATCATTCTCGCTGGGCTGCCCAGCTAGAATGACGGAATGCTGATATGTGGCAAAAGTACAGACATTCAGAGAAGTGACAATCAGTTAAAATTTTGCCTCAAAAATGACAATATGGTCATTGTCCCGTCATATCACACACCAAAAATTGAGTTGGGAAAACAGGTACTGACATGAAATGACATGAAATATTTAACGCTTATAATAATGAAAGAAAACATGATGAGCTTACTAGAATACTTTTCAGCTTGTCGAAGATTGTGCAACTAATAAGGTCATTTTTTTTTTGAGATTATATAAGGTCATTTTTTATGGGACAGGTACATAAGGGTTATGTTTGAATACTGTTTTTAAAAACAGTTTTTTAATTTTTAGAAAAAAAAACAAAAAAATTCATTTGATAAGGTCTGTTTTGTAAAAAAAATTAAAAATTGTAACTGTTTTTTTGTTTTTAGAATCAAATTTAGAGAACATGTCTGAGTTGTTTTTGTTTTCTGTTTTGATTTTTAATTTTCAAAATATAGTTTTAAGAACAAAAAATCAAAACACAATCAAACAGACCCAACATCTCCAATTTTGGTCCCAGTTGAAGTCTCCTGCTTTCACATCATATTATGCTGTTCCAGCTCAAAGAGAGAAGAAAATTCTTGTCCAATCGCACTATTATCTAATTAGAAATTTTTGTGCAGATTTTATTTATGCAAGTTAAATAATAAAAACTCATTAAATAATTTATATGATGTTAGAAAATAAAATAAAATAATAATTATTAATTGATTTAATTTACCATTTTGATTAAACAGAATACGCCGAAGAATTTCTCCCAACTACCTTTGCTTATCTTTCCTCCTCGTGATACATGTATGTTAGAAGAAAAAAATTCTTCGTTGTCGAACGTAAGCCTCCGTTTTTGACTTTTCAAATGAAGCCAAACAGTGGTATTAATATGCTTACGGACGGAGAATCTCCCAGAAATCTTGGAAAAAATGATGTAGGGAAAATATGCTTATCATGTAACATGATAAGTGTTGATGACCAAAAAATCGATATAATATTGATATAGTGAAAATTGTTTTGCACTAGATAATGGCAAAAATAAATATCATTTGAACTGTGGTATTAATTTAATCTACGAACGGAGATATCCTTTTGCAATTTTTAAAATCAAAATGCCCCGAAAAAAGAAACTTTGGAGTACAAGTCTGAAAAGATGAAAGACATCAGAGTGAAATTGGCGCATTGAATAACGACGTGCTTACCCTGTTTGTTGTCAGTCATTTAATATTTTAACATAATGGATAATTATATAATTTCAATACGCATTTTCATCAATATTTCACTATCAACCAAACATGATATTAGTAAAAATAAACCTAACTTTCTCGAAGAAATTGGCTGCTACCAAACACCATATTTTGCGCACTTTTTTGTTACCGGTAATAAAAAATTTCTCTCATACCAAACATCAATAGTTAAAATGTGCTTGCAATGTTACTTAGGCAATTTATTTATGGTTTTAACGTTTCTATAATGAATGTTTATCTACATTCATTCTCAAAATGATATCGTTTTTTGTCTTAAAAAATTATAACCCCCAAGGGTAGCTCAGTTGGCAGCTGAGCTACCAAGGGATTGTTTGGTGCAGGGATCAAACCCTGCCTCAAGCAGTTTCTTGGAAAATCTTTGGGGGCCAGAGGATAAGCCAAAAAATCTTCGGTTAGGGGATTAGTCTCGTCCTTTCTCCGGTTGCGAAGCTTAGTGCTCCCACTGTTACAATGAGGGGCTAGCCCAAACGGGTCATACCTCGAGAGCATGGTGCCCGGAGAAGGTTGAAAAAAAAAATTATAATAAAAAAACTATTATAATCCTGAAATAAATTATAATTATAAAAGTACATTGATTTCCGTCTCAAAACGATGTCATTTTAGACTCAATGTAGATAATTTATCTATATTTACTGCAGAAAAAATGGATCCTTTATTTATAAATGTGTTTGTTTTTTCTGATGTTACTTTAGATAACTTTATCTAATGTTCATCAAAACGACGTCGTTTTAGGACGGAAATCATGGTATTTTTGTAATTTTAATTTATTTTAGGGTTATAATAGTTTTTATCACTCTAATTTTTTAATTTTTCAACTCCAAAATGACGTCGTTTCGATGAACATTAGATAAAGTTATCTAAAGTAACATCGGAAACTTTTTTCCCTTTATAAATACTCAAAAAAAAAAAAAAAAAAAAAAAAAAAGGAGAAGAGCAACTCTCAAAGAAAAACAGCCAAGAATAACGCTTCCCATTCTCAAAGTAGCCACACACACAAAAGGAGTATTTCCATACTAACACAGATTTTTTTTTTTTTCAGTGTGCCGTAATCTCAGTTATTATTGGTTTCCATACGATTATGTCACTAACATAAAATCTTGACCCGAGACTTGTGCAGTTGTCGTAACATAAGTCAAGCTTATCTCCTACTCACCCAAATCGGTTTTTCAACTGTGTCGAATCGAAGTTGTTAAACGATTAATGATATAGACAGCATCAGTAATACAATAACTTCAGTAAAATGGTGATGAAAAGTCAAACATTTTTTTGGTTTTGGTCATTTAATACATGAGTTTTCGTTTTATCCTTTAACATAACACAACAAACTTTTCTACACTCACAATATTTTATGGGGCCCATACTTTTTAAAACAAAAAAATAAATAAAAAATTAAGACACGCAAAACGAATCTCTATAACATTACACAATCACTTTTCCTATAACATAACTCTT